ATATATATATATATATATATATATATATATATATATATATATATATGTATACCTATAAGTGACATCGTGAGTCATCGAAATACCACATGACACGAAATCGCTTCGCTGATCTCAATACAATTTTTCGCATGTTGTCTTTGTCTGTTGTGAAATACAAGTGCATTTTCGTCAGCGAATCGTCTAACGCTGGGATTGGAATTCTGATGACGTCGTGTGACATTTGCTTCCGGGAGAGACGATCACGTCATCCGTAAATAACTCATGACGTGCTCATGATTCATGCGCAGGTCGCTGCCTCCTCCGATTGATCTTCGATTTAGCACAAACAATGATCGCCATTCGATTGCACAATGGAATTTACGTTTGCCTTTCGACGCAAGTAAATTACTTGTTTTCGAAGAATAAAGGAAATTGTACAGGAAATTGATAAAATTTTTTATCATTAGATAAAATCAAATCCTGAATATTGCGGAAATGCAGAATTGTTTTAATATTTTCATTTTTTTAATTCAATTTTCCAAAAGATTTATCTTTTTTAGTTTTCGAATTATAGAAGAAGAAATATAAAATTGTTAGAATTATCAATAAAATTTATCCTTTAATTTTATAAATTAGCAATATTGCTATTGTTCTATTTTAATTAATGTAAATTAAAAACAATTTATATTATAAAATAATATAATAAGAAATATTAACCCAATTTCTAACGTTGTTATATTAAAGCATCTACATTTATTTATTGCGATTTGTGTCACTGTTTTTAAATAGAATTGTAAATATATTAATGACGTGTGCGTTTAAATGCCAAAATTGTATGTCATATGTGTAACTTTATGTTATTGTCAGATTTCTTGCTAACTTTATAACTCACTATGATAATAATAATCGAAAAAAGGAAATATGCATTTTATCATATAAAAATATTATACATTTTTTACACAAAATGTGTAATTATATAAAATTGTTAGCTCAAAAATTATTCTCATATTCCCTAAAATTTTCCATTAAATTTATCCAGCAGACAAACACGAAAAATTTAACAGAAAAAAATTTATATTTATAATATATTGTTAATATATAATTTATTCTAAAGCATGCCAGATTTCGTGGAATGTGTTTAATCTTTACGCTCGTTGCGAAAAATTTTCATATAAAAAATCAAGATTATTGAGATCTGATTCAATGCATTATCCGTCGGTTCAAATTCTGAGTGTGACATACAGCTTATGATTTTCTTTCGGACCAAATCAAAAGAAGAACGAATCTGAAGATTATCGAACTTGCAGTCGATCGAATGCGATGCAATCGAGGGCGAACATAGAACAGATTTGATCTCGCGAGCAATCTCGAAGCATAATCGAATCGCTTGTACGATTTTCTGGAGAAAAATTCCGGAATTTCGCTTGAATAAGCGGCGACCTTCGTCATTCATCGCAAAGTACATAGATACATCGTTATCTATGTCTGTTTTGTAACAAGGGTGATTGATGTGATAATGACGACCAAACAAAAAGAAAACGTCTCCCGGCGTCACCTGGAATGATGATAGATGATATCGAAATTGAGTTTGTAGAAACAGTTTGTGCCATTCGTTTTCATAGCGAGGTAACAGAATTCTCAAGATATTCTATAAAGATATTTTTTAAAAATATTATACATTATGTGAAAACGGAATTGATCGAATTGTTAATTCGAACGCACCGCGCAATTATTCTCCCAATTGTGACTGAATCTTTTTAAAACTAACTTTTTAAAACTATTTTTATCCTTTTCATCCGAGAATTTACAGATATTATCGGCTAATTTTCACTATTCGTCAATTGATAAAGTGCGTATGTATATTTTTATAAAAAAAAATATTTATCATAAAGAATCGCGAAATAGTAACTATCCTGATGCGCAAAAGCAGCACTGATATCGTCTTATAAATAGCAACAGTTAATAGTTGAACTTATTTTTTATGAAAAAAATGATGACAGAAGGCGATTATTTATTACGCGCCTGATTTATCGCGAAGTACCAAGGCGTACGAGATAATAAGTGTCGCATTTTCGGCAGCGTATTTTATGTGTCCATATGCTATCACGCGAGTTCTCTGTCTCGATGCAATGTTCATTTATATAATCGTCCAGATAATGCACAGTTGCATCTCGTAACACGAGGCTGTCACAATTATTTGTCTATTACGCAAGAAAAGCGTGCCAGCTCTTTTCGCTTGACACTTTTCGTTCGTTCTTATCTCACTTTGTAAATACACTTCTCATTCTCGCTTATTTAACTTGAAACTGATTCCTCCAAATAACAAGAGATTGTAATTACGACAATGAGAAGGTACTTATTCCATTAGTATAATAAATGAATAATCAGCAGTTAGTTTCCAAGAGTCGTTAAGTAAGTGATGGATAAGAAAGCGAAAGAAAAGTGAAAACGTAACGTAACGATGAAAAAAAGTTTACAATATACTTCAACATACAGGTGTTTATCACCAAAGTTTTTTTTTCTAATAGTATACGCGAGTTTTTATTCATTTTGCTAGGTGAAACTTGAAATGCCTTAGCTCTCATTCTCGTAAATTTTGCCCTATACTCTGCATAATTACTTTATCGTGATTCTATAACAACACTAAACGCCATAAAATCTTGATGGTCATAGAAATGAAAATCTCCTAGCGCGAACAAAAGTGCGCGAAAGTCTCGAAAATACAACTTTGCCATGTGGTAGATTTGACGGTCGACAGTTCGATCGCTCGTAATCCCTCGTAATCGCAGCCACGGATATGATTTTACATCGTTAACAATAATATCTAAAAAAAAGAATATATGTACGTCTCTCTCTCTACGTAATTATTTTACTGACTTACATCCTGATCTAGAATCGCTTTAATTCGTACGATTATACTTATTTACAATCGAAACACGAGCCGAGAGAATTGGCCGATAATCGAAAATTTGTCTTACATTGACCATTCCGATCATTTATATAACCATTGATATTTACACAGGTGAGCGACATGGCGATATCCCTTTAAACTGCATCTTGAGGACTATCTGCAGAACAGTTATCACCTTCGAAGATAAAGCACGTGGAAGTGTATGCGAGGCAGTACGTTTCATCTGTACTTGCATTTAAAACGTGACACGTAAATATGACTTGCGATAATTTTGCATCTACCGTGATTTCGTTTCAGATCGAAGATCTAGTTTTGAATTGGTGCGTATAAAATTCAGATTACAATGATATTCAAATTAACATCCAAAATAAATATGAAAATTCAGTAATTTTTTTTCATTTATTTTCATTTATTTATTTTCTTAAAATAAAAAACAATTTTCTTTAAAATCTTAGAATAATATTATACGAACTTTTCAATTTTTTTTCTAAATGTTTTTACAAATTTATTATTTCTTGAAAAATATGGTAAGCATTTTGCAAAACTTGATGCATTATAAAAAGATCTTATCGACTGTATGCAACGTGTGCGTGATTTATTTTATATGAAACTTTCCTTAAAACTGAAACCGGATAAATCCAAAGTTTCATACGCAACAATCCAATATAGCCGGTTATTTTAAAAACGATGTAAGTTCAGTTTATAAAAAATATTAAAATCGAAACATAGATTTATGGCTCCGTTTTATTGAAATTAGTGGTGCGTCAAAACTGAGCTCATATTGTTTTTAAAATAAATGGCCGAGTTAAATCTACGATGACATAGAATTAACTATACTTCATATAACACGTGTTTAGAAAATTCTTCATATTTCACTTTGACATGATTGAAGTGTCGCGTTACGCATGAGTGAAGTGTCACGTTCTTCAGACTACGCGTCTCATTTAGTCATAACTTCGTTCTACATTAAAATCTTATTTAATCCTTAGACTTAGACCGGAGCTTCATCCTGTCTGGGATGACGAGGATTAAACATCGACTTTCTCTTACGAAGTTTCAATAAGCAATTACGTGTCCACTTTGATCGACTTTAAAATTTTAAAGGATTAGTTTAAACTTTTATCTCGTTTGCCGTTTTAGATAAAGTCTACGTTTAGATAAATTGTGTGAAACTATAACTACTCTCGAGAGTTCGATAGCAGCTCCATCGGTGACTTTACACTTCGAGGATATCGACAGCGAATTAACAACTTTCAACGAAGTGTCACTTTATTAACCAATTCGTGTAACGTCCAATGCGCAAGGCCTTAATTCGGTGCGAAATTAGGGGCGAGTTCTCCGATTTATTTCATTGATTACGCGCCGGTCACACGCGAGATATTCATAGACGCAAGTGGCAATTATGCGCGCCTCGATAATAAAATTGCTTTATCTGGATAATAAATGGGAATGGATGTTAGTCGCAATGTAAGCGTTCGTACGTAAATCGTGGCGATAATATGCGATGCATTATCAGGAGTATATATTTTCAAAGACACATATTTTCAGATCGTAATAAATTTTTACTGTTTCTTTGGATATGCAAACGCGACGAAGGCAGTCTTTAGGTAGGCGATGACATATTTTCTCGGAAATGCTTGTTTCTTATCGCTCTCGATGTGGCATAATTGGGAAAATTTCATTATTCATTTCCGTAATGCCTCGATAATTGCGAAATTTTTATGCAACATTTCTTATTAGCGCTATGCAAAGACGAAATGATTAAAACGCGTTTCATCGAAATAGATTTTCTTTTACGTTGCCATTTAAAATGCAGCAGTTTTGCGATCGCAAGATGTCAGAGTGTGTTACTTTTAAAAGGAGGTCACCGCTTGCGTTTTGCGGAATAATTATTTTTTCATTACTTTTATCTTCGTCTCTCTCTCTCTCTCTCTCTCTCTCTCTCTCTCTCTCTCTCATTCTCTTTTTCATTTCTCTCTTTCTCAAAGAATTGAAGCCGTTCCCGTCATAAATGGGAGATAATGAATTGTATTTACACATGCAATTATTCAGAATGCAGTTAATTGTGTGTTATTAGAATTCCGGAAATTAATTTGCTCGTGTCAGGAGTGATTGACATAATTAAAAGAAGACCTTCGATGACCTATTTTTGGAAAAATTTCTCTCCGGCCGGGCTGTGGAACACATCAGCGGAGTTAACTCTGTATCTGGGTCACGGCTTTAAAGCCGATATCGTTGCATCGAGGTGCAATCGTAATTTTAAATTATGGAAGAAGTTATTATTGTAGATAGTATAAAATAGATTGAACATTTTATTCTTCTAGTTCAGGCTATGTGCGATCATTTAAATTACGCAATTCCTTTTTTAATAAGCACAATTATTCTCTTTTTATTTCAGAAATTTATCAACAATCGTAAATAATTGGTTTACAGGCGATTGATTTACAGTCCCTCGTAAAAGAAATTTTACGCGTGGCAGTGCAAATTGTTTTGATGGCAGAAGTAAATTATGTAAATAATCAGTCTTTGATTCTCCGCTTACAAATCAGTCAGTGTCAATTAGAATTTCGATATTTTTACCTAAGACGTATTCGCATAATTACGTTGTAAAGCAATTACGTCATTGGCAGGCCGAGTAAAAATTAAATAATATCTTTGGTCCCAAGTAAATGAAAAATTGTAAAAATAACTTTCACAATATTCTGAAATATATCGTGACACGAGCAAACTTCTTTTTCGATCGTCAGAAAACGTTCATTTTCTCGTAAATTTACTTTATAGTACTTAAAGTTACTCTTTTTGCTTGAACTTCCTTTAATATAACTTTAATAAAACTTTTCCGCAATAGTGTGATATCTCATGTTTTAACAGATAACCATCTTACTTTGTGCCATCTCACAATATAAAATGGAAGGAGAAAAAGGATTGAAGTACGAATGTGTAGGTATAGAAACAAAACAGATAATGAAACCGTGACCTCCTTTCCGAAAAAAACTTGTATTACCTCCCTCTGATCGAACACAAGATTGCAGTTAATTAAACGTACGCTCGCGTTACTCATTGTCTGACTAATCCGTAACATTATCACTTAGAACGTAACGCGATAAGTCTTATCTATCCGCAGAACGTCGACGGGCACGGGAATTTCTGTATGTAACGCACGCGTTTCCAACGTTTCGTGGAACAAGAATGAAATGAAATTCGCTTTATTGAGTCCGTTATTTAGATCCAACCGTGACGAATTACATTGGCGATTATCTTTCATTCAATGTTCTCCGCGAAGAGCTTAGAACTTACATCGCGCGCCTAGAATCACTTTGTCTTTCTCGGTTATACGCGCGTTGATTATTGCGTGTACACTCGCAAATAACGAGAGAATGATTGGCGGTATTTCCGGTTAGCTGACGATATCAACACGCGATATCAGCATGCTGCGTTAATCTCTCCGTTAATTCTTCTTAAGCTTCCTCGTCGTTCTTCGCTCTCTATTTCGGGTACATTCTATCCTGATTTTTCGAAATTCTACGCTTATCGAATAGTAAAGCGGCAAAATGCAAACTTCCGCTCGCTACTTCCGTAAAAAAAAAGCCACTGATAGCGTCGTTCATTACTACAAAGGAAGTATCTATTTTCTCAGTAAAAAATATTATTGATCGAAAATTCAACAGAAGTTATTCTCATATATATTCTTGAATATTCTTTTCTATTAATATGAGAGAATTATTTGCTTTTGTCAACTGTTTCACAGATTAATGAAAAATAGTAGTTCCTTGTGCGAAACACACTTGTGCCAATTTCATCAATATAGATAACGTGCGGACCGTATTGTATTAAAAATCTTACAAGTTGTAAATGCCCAAAATATTATCGACATGCACCGTGATGGGCTAAAATATAAAATATAATATAATTAAAACGAGTTAGATAACACGATTTCGATATTGATTCGGCATCTCGAGATTGTTCAAATAGTGTTTCTCTGCTATTACATTCATAAATCGCTATTACATTTATATAATTTTCTCAGCGCGACAATCGTAACGAGAATCGTAATTTCGCTAATTAATTCCACTAATTAAAATGCAGACGAAATGTAGATTTCTTGTCATTTCGGCCCTGGATTCGACGTGATTAAAAGTAAACGCTCGAATGATAATCACAACGTCAATCACAACGTCACGCCATCGTAGGAAAAGAGATCATTAGTTTAATATAATCGAAACGGAAGTCGACTCGTGCGGTGGAAACGTGCGAGCGGAAGTACGCACGCAACATTCGTTATTTGATACAAATAGATAAATAATCGATTATGTACAAGTATGAACAAGGTGTACAAGCCGCGGCGATGACGTCGGCGTGCTCGCATGCGTGCTTAAGGTGAAAACCCGAGAGCGGCCACGTTCGGCCGTCGGTTTTGCTCTATCTCGCTAAACTTTCGCGTGCGCTACTCCTGCGTTATCGTTGCGGCAACACGTTACCGTTGAAAGTATAGCGAGAGGAAGGAAGTAGCCCCTCGAAATGTCGACTCGAGTGTTCTCACGCTCGATTGGACGCCGTTCGCCCGGCGTAACAATAATAATGTCGGAGCACAGCTCCGAGAAAAACAGCATTTATATATTATCACATAATTTCAGGCTACTGAAGTCTACGTATTATCCACCCCGTCCAAGAAGTGATATCGCTAATATGAATAATTAAATCGCCTAAAGTCGGCTGTCGCTTTAAACTTGGTCAGTATGTCTAGCTGAAATTTTTCCTCGTCGGCTGAGGCTGCTCCTCGTTGCGAGCTCGCGTGTAACCGCATTCCTTTTCGTTAGGGCACATATATATATATATATTTGTTTTATTATCGAGAACTTAAAATTTTCTCGGTAGAATTTGTCGGGATTCGTTCGCTCTCGGCGGCATTTTCTTCCGTACGATCGCACGAATTACTTTCGTTTGCGATCCAAGTTGCAGCTGGCCCTCGCTCACATCAAAGTGCAACCCAAGCGCAATGCAGACGTCTGAAAGAAGTCTGCGGCCATGATACGTAAAGGAAATATCTCCGATTACCGCATTGTGCGTCCGGTGTTACCTTATCCCGTTCCTACGAAATGATAATCGTTTAGCGCAAAATGAAAATGGCCTGTCGAAAACCGATCGGATCCTATAAACAATACGGAACACATGTAGCTGAAATATATTTACATGACACACGTAAATATAATATTCGAAATTTTTATTCGCTGTCGGTGAGGTATAATCGACTACTTTTGGCAGTAAACGATAGGTGGTAACGTTGAAGTTTCTTGTGTCACCACGGCCGCAATATATCACGTCACATTGCATTAAATATTCAACATCCTTCTCGATCGACGTCTTGATTTATCTAATAACGTTGCGACGACTTGGCGCGCGACGTGAACCTTCTGAACAATCTATTTTACAGACAATCTCATGTAATCTCTCTATGTCACGCGCATCCTTACCAAAAAAAAAAAAAAAAAAGAAAAGAGAGAGAGAGAGAAAGGAAAGATGTGGAGCACGAGATGAGAGATAGGAGAAGTTCGCTCGGCTCTAGAATTGCTTGCCTACTCTTATTTTCAAGAAGGTTTTTAACACTAACATGTTGCGCGCGACGCTCGATGTCTCGGATGTCTTTCCGAACGAGGTTGTTTCTTAATCGAGATGTGCCAATCGGATCGACGTGGCGCCTTGGGCAAATCAACGTTATCGAAAATGCGAAAATTCATCCTATTCGGGCATCGCTTCAATAACGTTTCGCGACGTGTCGTGTAATATCAAATATAAATACTTTGTGTGTCTGTTAATCGGACAAAGTACAGCTTTATACTATAAGATAGCTTCTGCTAGATGATATAACAGTAAATAAGATAAGGTGATATCGGGCCGGTTTCATCAATGTCTGTTAATTGTAATCTTCTAATTGAAAGAGGTACACCGAAATTAATATACCGTTAAAATGCGATTTGTTGGTTGACCGACGCTGATGAAATCGGCTAATAATAACTTACTAATTTGCTAACAACGCATTATCGCTCTACTAAGCCCCGTCGCATCGTTTACTTATTATAAGCGCCTCTCGGCATTGCGCCAAAATGCGGCAATCCCGGTACTATGTATGCAGTCTTTCAGCTGCGCTAATCGTCAAAGTTCAATCAAGGCGCAGCGTCGTTCGATCGTCACTAAGCCATTCTATCATAATAGCGACGTACTACTAGGATTTTATTAGTTATTGTCCTCGTTAAAGTAGTTCGCACTTTAGTTCTGTGGCGTTTTACGTTACGCGGCTCGCCCTCCTTTTTTTTTTCTCTCTCCTCATTTCGAGATGACTTTCGGGCCAGTTCGACGGGGAATCATTAAAACTTTCGCGTGGAAATCCGGGATGGGACGTGTAACGGTACTTTGAGAAGTAATAAGGCTTCACGCGAGAATAATAAGATCTTGCACGCGAAGATAACGAAAGTATCAGAACTCGAGAACTTCCGGGACCCGGAACGCCGGTTATCACGGCAGTGATTATTTCGATGTCTGCGAAAGTGGATCGATCTCGACGAGAGAGCTCGAGCGCGTGTGCTGTCGCCTGGATTTCACGCGTTCGTTAAAAATTGACCGTCGGAAACAAGTATTTCGTTATACATCTTAATATTCCATCTTTTATTTAAAAAAAGTAATCGTATAAACGATTCAGTCTCTTGAAATGAGAAAATTTGTGATTGGCAGCATCTTGTCGTAGAAATTACCAAAAAGCCAATTACCAAAGATGATACACTGTGTGTGTACCGCAACGCATTTCGATTTAATGAAAAAGACTTACATCACAAACGATTGCATCACAACGATTGCTGTCGCTGGATTTAATCCGCCGTTACGCGTTAGTTTACTTTACGCTGTTGCGTACCGACGCGCGTGCTCGACGTAGACACCACCGAGCTTATAATCCTAACCACGTTCCAGTCGCTGCTTTACAATTCACGACGTCCCCTGTAATCAGATCGCCCGACTCTCAACTTCAACTCACCCGTCATTATTCCCTGAATTTTAAAACCCAGACCCATCCCGCCTCTGGAACCCGGAACAATCGGAAACGAAAAAAGCGTCCGTTCGTTCGGCAAGAAAGGCGTTCTCTCACTTCGCCCGAGTCATCGAGCATCGAACGCGATTTTCCCGCGATCCATAGCTGAACTCCGATCTCTCTCCATCTAACGTCCGAATCTCTTGCACGCGACAGTTCTGCGCGTTACGCGGAGGCAGTTCCGCGGATCCTCCAGCGGCGGCCGGCCCGGCGACTTCTTCAGGAGGAGTGCGGGGCCGAGCAGAATACTAGTCTGACCGCTAGTCCGTAGAGAACCGCCGGAAGAAGCCGGACCGACGACGACGTGGACGACGGCGATCGTCACACAGTGGTGACCCGGTCGACCTCGACGTAACGCACAGAACTGTCGCTGTGTCAGCATATCACTTCCTTGCCGTCGATTATCGCCGTCTCGGAGGAGATGCTCTTCAGGCGGTGCTGGGATATCGAGCGGCGGCCGCGCCGCCGGCAGGCCCGCCAGACGATGAAGAATATCACGCCGAGGACGGTGATCAGCACGAGCGCGCCCAGGGCCAATTGCAACGGCGGCAACTGCAGCAGCACCGAGCAGTGCGTCAGGGCCTCGTCGTAGCCGGACGGACAGTGGGACACACCGTCGCACCACAGCGAGGCGTTTATGCAGGCGTCCAGCTCCGGGCACCGTTGCTCGCAGTCCCGCGACATTTGCAGGCCCGCCGTTGACGTCACCGACGGTCTGCGGGTCAGAGGGAGGATCGATAGAGTCATATTGTTCCGCGCTGCGTAACGACGTGGCTCTCGTCGTCGCGCGACGACCCCCCGCCCGCCTAATCGAGGCCAGGTGACGTCGAGCGAGGATATTAATTAAGGTATTTTCGAGCGAGAGAGACATTCGAGAGTGAGTCGTTTAAACGATCGTACCATCGTTGTACTTGCTATTGTACTTCCGCGCGATTCTGACAGATCTGCGATGATGCAGATCGGGAGGACGGAGGTCTCTCGACACACTTGGGCCGATTTCTAAAGGGAGGAGATTGTAACGCGCCGTTGTGCCATTGTTATTTAGCAACTTTTTAATTTTGATTTATCTTTATTTCTTGAGATATAATACTTCTACGTAAAAATGTAATAGCGTTTTATTCTTATTCTCTAAACTTTTTTTCCTCGAAGAAGTTTAGTTTGTCAGTTATCGGGAGCATTTGTAGCAAATGACGTTAAACGTTGTATAAAACATGTACTTCAGCTCTATATCTTGTATATGGAAAGTTGGTAAGAGGTCTTTGCAACTTTCAAGCAAAATGCAGATACACCGCCGCGTATCTATTAAGACAATCTTCGTTTCTACGAGATTAATTATTCTGCGCAAGAGATTGCGAAAGTTATAGATAAATTACGGCAAAGTTTAATGAAGAGCCATCTTTTCTTTTTAAGAAGGAGGTCGCGTTCATGAAGATTCTATTAATTACGGTCTTTGTCGCGTTTGCTATCAGAAGTTCCTTTGTTCATTTCTACTAATACTCGTAATTAAGGTAATACGATATCCACGATATCAGGCTCCGCATAGGCATATCAGATCTGTCATTTCACTCTCTCATTCTATCTTTCGACTTTTTAATTGTTTCTGAAACAAAAGTATCGTTACGAACCTTCTGGTGAGTTCGAGCCAGGTGACCGTGTAGGTAGCTGGTTCTTTTATTATGAACTCCACGGCGATGGTCCTGATCGGATCCTGTCCCGGTGCGAGGATCATCGCGTTGCTGCTGACGGCCCAACCGTCGCTGAACACCTCCACCACATGGTGCCTCAAATCGGCAGGTGGTTTTGGACATACCGACACGTGAATCGCGCCGCCCGTGTGCACGATGATGCGATTTTTGGTCGCGCACTTTGTGCTATTTGATACAATTATACCGCGCATTTTCACGTACAGGTACTGTCCCGGACCAGGATCGATCAGCCACGGTTGGTTCTCACAGTTTTTCTAACACAATCGTGAAAGAAGCCATTAAAATAAAGTTAAATATACATGACTATTTGCACAGAATGAATCAGCATAGAAATTGTAAATCTAAAACACACATTTTTATTCATTAGCTTATTTTGAAAAAATTGTGTTTTTGAAAAATTGAAACTGAAACACACACATTGATAATTATTTATATTTTTTTGAACATCACTGGAAACTAAGTAATGTTTTATCCGGTTTATTGTCAAATCTTTCGGAAAGACTTGATTTCTTTAGGTATAATTTGATTTATTTATTCTTCAGGTATAGTTTAACTTTTTCTTTTAAGATCAATGAATAAAAATGACTTTAAATATCGGTTTTATTGTATATAAAGTTTTTCAAGTTTACCTCGTCATCGTCGATCGGCGGCGTATACTTAATTTCACCAGACGGCCCCCTGACTCTGCGCTTCTGCATGCAAGGCACCGTCTTGACGAAGTCCCAGGTGCCCTCGAAGAAGAGATTGTTGTAATCATCCAAGGCGTCCATAGATAGAACGGTGAAATGTACCTCAGCGATATTAGAGGTAGATTTGATATTGATGGGTAGTGATCGATTCGAGCAGAGACAATCTCGTTGGATGGGCGACGCATTTGGCCAGGGTAAATCGAGCACCTACAAACAGATAACAGGGGGATGCTTCCGACTGTCTTTAGCCTCAAAACTCCGTATTTTTGTTTTATCAATACGCGCGTTTCATGGCTGAAGGAACTATTCTCGATAAACATTTCGTTGTTATTTCTGGAAAATGCTTCGCAGTTATTAAATAAAAATGTTATGCTTCGCATACTGTTTAAAATGAAATCTCGAAACGATAGATCGATGCTATTAAACTGCAGTCACGTGTTTCCATCAATCTTGCATTTGCATTATCAGACATCGAAGTAGTAGAACAAATCGTGGCGCACTCTCGAGTCTGATTCATGTTGATGTTGACTACTTAGAAACTTTGAAGTCTGTCGGTTTACTTCGGTCTATCGTATTTGGATTCGGAGATTGCTGATACTTGCTATCACGCAAAGCCACCGTTAATTACTCGATCAGAGCCACCTGTTAATATCGATTCTATATAACTTCCATCGTATCAATATCAAGTTACGTCACTTACAACTTTCCAATTTAGCCTATTTAAAATAAACTCATAGTTACAAGAGATTTAAAAGACTAAGGCCCGGTTACATCAAGATTTAAACGTCTGTCTTTATCTTTCTTTCTAAATAAATAAAGACAGACACATACTTAAGTCTCGCTTAAAGCACAAAATAATGTTGGTGCAATGGGGCCTCAGTAACATAAAAATTCCTCTTTTGTATACCTCTTTCCATTGACTCAAGTAGACGTAATCATCAAATATATATCCAAATGAATTGATTTCGTGACGTATCGATTGCAAAATTTAATTTTCGCATGGGAGACGGTGCGATCGGTTTGCCCCGAAACTAATCACAATTACCAGAAGTTTCAATTACGCACCTTAACCGAGAAGTTCTCGGAGTCGACGCAGAGCAGCCTATTGAAATCGGAGTTGCTAACGCTGCGGCAGGTGCGATTCCCATTGAGGAGCTTGTTGAACCTCAGCTTCACCACCTCGTCGTGTTCTCCTTCGAAGCGGTACACGCAGCTGCAAAATCCGTTTCTGGCCTGCACTTTCAGCACTTAATCGAATCTACACGCCTCGCCGGCCAGGCAAAGGAGCCGGTTCAATGATCGATACTGCAGGAAGATTACGAGGAGCATCGAAGGTTGGACGGCCGTTAATCGGAAAGCGGCCAAAGTGATTCTAAGAGGTGGATCATGGCAACCGGGTACCACCATCGAGTTCCTCGTCTCTTTTCGAATATCGCGGTTGGATTATCTCGCCAGGGAACGAGCCTTCCTGCCTTTCATTACTCGGCTGGGAAGTGAATCTCTCGACGAGTGCAAATAACAATATTAGAAAGAATCGAATAAAATCGATTTTACGTCTCGTCGTCAATCAGCGTACGCGAAAATGATTTAAGTGAGCGAATATTTATTTGAAATTTTTAGTTTGAAAAATTTTTAGTTATATTTCATATTATTAGTAGACTTTTTAATGCACCTTACTATGACATACATTTCTGCTTCTTTGTTATTACCATTAATCAAATAATAACTAAAATGAAAACGTAACTATGTTCGGACGTAACTATTATCGAACGTTATGACAGAAATTCTGATTTGCTAGCAAGAAGACCTTGATTTAACGGTGCGAAGCTCATTTTATGATTGTCGTAAAGCCGCAGTCTAACTGATATTTTATCGGGATCGCAAAAGATTCGATTTTGCGGATAGTAATAAAAGGATATGCGCGTGATAGCACCGTATGAAGACCATGAAAAGCGCAATGTACGTGTTCGTTTCGTAGATGCATACTTCATGTGCTTCATATATGTGTGATGCATTCGAGCAACGCGAATAAAGATTTCAAAAAAGATATCTAAGATTTAAAACATAATTTGGATGTCGATCGTAATAAGTTCATTAAAGGAGAACACAGAATGACTCAGCAAAAATAAAAGCTGTTGTAAATTATGTTTTACAGATTTCTCGTATTTTCAAAGAACCATTTAGATAATGTAATAATATACTTTATATTATCGAGTCTTGATATTTCTAAATATAATAAGAAACTGTTAATCATTTATATATGTCAGAAATATATACATAATTCATAGATTCTTTTACAACAAAAAATAGATAAAGCTTGGCGTTTTGGTTACGCAATGCACACGTTTTTAATGATTGTATAGCGTGTGACGTAGTTTTGTAGTTCTGATCTCATATCTAGTTTCGTAATATACGATTTGTGAATCGTTCGATCGCGAAAGAAAGATACGGAAGAATCGTCTATTTTACAACGAACATCGACCTCTTAATAATAGATCTGTTAATAATAGACTGCCACGAATTGACAAATGATGACGAATTGACGATGTCATAATCGCGTCATTATATCATTATATTAGCTTTCATGATGGTACTCGGAATCACGCACGAATAGGATCCTATCGTAGACGATAGATGGCCGTAATATGAATATTGTCACGATAGTTCTATTGGCGAATAAACAATCACGTAAGTAAATAATGTTGTATTGGTCGACAGCGTTATTGCATAATTATATCATGAATTTAGTTATACATCTACGTGCTTGTGGCAAGTACGAAAAGAAATTATTCGATGAAGATCTCGAATATGTTTCTGATAAATAAGTCCAAGACACGAAATGTTTTCCCTTATTTACATGTCTAATTTGCTATTGTAATAGCAAATACAATCTCTTACCTTATGTTCTTTGATCCTCCACGACCGTACAGGAATATGTCGCGCGGTCCTTGGAATTTACGATCTGGATAATGGTCTCGATTCCGACTGTAGAAAATGCGAGAACACGGTCCACTGCCGTAGGGATCGCCGTCCTGATGAAGATCGACGAATTCGTACAGAGCGCGAAAATTTACGGGTCTAAAAAAGAAGATAATCGTGTCGATTTTATTAATTAATATTAAAAATAACTTCTTCATTTTTATCATCTTATAATCTTACCATCTTCATGAAAAAAAAGAAAAAAAAAAACAAATTTATTAAATTAAATGAAACGTGTAAAAAAATGCGCGAGTATAAAAAATATAATCCAAAAATCCAATCTAAATCGAATCTGAAAATATAATCTAGCAAAATAAATAACATTTAAAAAAAAAAAAAAAAAAACAAATGGAAGATCTGCGTAAATTTCGTTTCTCAGGCGACGCGACATTTCCAACTTCGTCGAGACCTTGTCGAAACATTGAATTGAAACTCGGGAATAATGATAAATCGCGTGCGGGGATGTATGTATTAATGTAATAACAACCCCACGCGAGAAGGGGGTTAATATGTGCCGTTGTCCGGCGCCGGGTTCGGTGCACTGATGAAGATCGACGAACCCTCCGACAGATTGTGAGAGGCGGCGGGCCTTGAAGAGAGACGTTGCACCGGCGAACGGTTGCGGGGATGTTATTAAACCGGCTTGAGCTTATTATAAAGCTCGTGCGCCGCGCCGGTAGGCTTCACCTCGCGCGGAAAGGATTAACTAGACCGTGCGATGCATCCGCATTGCACGTCACTCACCGTCGGCTATCACGCCCGAACACGCCGTGTCCACACGTCGATAGGCACGTGCGAGAGGGAAGAAAAAAACTTGGAAAGGGAGGACGACGACATGCGGATATACTCCCGTCGGATATGACGCGACGATAAACGGATGTAACGCGTGTAAAATGTGAATCGGAGTGTATACCCGTGGAAAAACCGACTCTCAATTATTCATCGGCAAAATCGCCGATCTGGATCTTCGTCGCGTTTGGAGAAATCGTCGGAATTATCGTGCGCAAGCACGATGTGAAACAACGGAGGGGCAGGGGGGGGGGCGCGACGCGAATGCACGTCGATTAATGCCACAAAGATCGATGTAGTCGGAATTTAATTACCATTCAGCAGACGTGAACGTTTTTATCGTTTTTTTTACACGCGCGGATATTGCGGATTATTAATTTCTTTTATTTTTAAATCATACGATAACGTTAATATCGGACTGGCTTTTAGGCTGTCGATTGAACTCTTTTTCTCGTCCCATTTTGTAAATTAATTATCCGACTGTAAAAGCTTTCAATGCTGCGCACATGGCATGTTAATTCATTATATTTAGATTAACATCCATGGATGGGATACAATGCGCGGTGCGATGTGATGCGCGCGGCACGAATTTGGTATACACAAACATTCATGCACGCTTGCGAAATTTTTACAAGGTTCACTTATTCACGTTATTAAAATTCGCGTTTTCTCATGCGCGACACGCGAATGTTCATTTAAATAATTTTTAAATTTACGAAGCAACGAATCAAGAGATAGATGTAACGCCTTTCACGAGCACGGGTAGGAGATTGGGGGGGGAGGAGGGGGGAGAAAAAGGAGATGGAAAGATCCGCGTAAATAAAATTAAGCAAATGGGATGTGGAAGGCCGCCGCCGTCGCCGCGTGTCTCTCGACATGCCTCTGAATTCCGCTATCTTCTCACCGCGAGGGAAGGGACAAAGGGAAGGAGAATCATGAATAATCTATATTGTAGGTGGCGCGAAGGAAAGAGCGCGTAGCATCATGCGATGCGGCGAACGAATGAAACGTGCTACCGTAGCAGATATTGCGCGTCGTATTTCTATAAAACGTTTCCTCGCTTGTAACGCTCCGGCGGTTTCGATCCGACGATGTTGTAAGCGAATCGCAATGAAACGCGGGATTACAACAAGTGCAGATTGGCGCATCGCTCAAATGCTCTCACTATTTGCCGATACAAATCGCCGAATACAAAAAATTTCAATGGAACTCGTTAATACTTTTTTTACTTGATCTGCAGTTTGCCGATTAAAACAGAGACATGTGTCTCAAAAGTGGGAACGTTTTATAGATATTTTTCGAACTTTCTGGGAAAGTGCATTCGTATGGTGCGCCGTTCAATTTTTATTCTCTTTTTCTTTGAAATATTTTTCAAAACATATTAAAAGAATTAGAATATTGATATAACTTTTTATAATTTTTTTACAGATATGCGTAATGTGATTTACCAATATTTTACGATATTTGTTATCAGTTTCTAAGGAAATTATATAACTCTTCAAATGAAAGTTTGATAGATTAGGTTGAATTTGATTAAAATTGTATTAAGATATAAACGATTTATTATTTATTATTTTAATTTGAAACTTAATTTAAAAAAAAATATTTTTAGATTAAAATTTCTTGATAATAACTTAATTATTCTTTCATAAAAAATTTACAAAATATTGTTTTCTACGTTAAGCGATAAAGAAAAATGTATACGTATGTAAATTCTGTAATGAAAATTAAGACTTACCTAAGCGCTGTCGATTCGATCATGCGCATTTCTATAGTTAAACTGCTGCCAGAAGAGACAAAACTTTCCCCCAAAGAACACGGACGACTGGTGTTCTGCAGGATAGCATGATCGCAAGTTCTCGGTACTTTGTCCTTGCAATATCTTGCTAGCAACGTGGTATTGCTCGCGGGACGCGCAAGAACGGGTTGAATCGGATCGCCCATCCTCTCAGCGTAACGTTGACGTTCTTTCTCACTGAAACAAACATTACACCGAACCTCTACTAGCCACTTTCGTAAATACTGAACATTCAGCTAAAATTTAATTGGTAAAAAAAAGATCATCACTTGAAAAAAATATTAACAATTATTAAACAAATAAGAAAAGAACAGAGATTGTTACGATAAAATCGCAAGATATTAATAATCAAAGAAAACAAGATTAAGCTAAAAGCAAAAACAAAATCAATTGAGGCCATTCTGTTAAAGTAACACACGTCTCTTAAAAAAAAAAATTACAGTTTTTCTGAACTGTTGAGCGCCACTTACCAAGCAACATCATTACATTCCGACAACGGCATCATCTCACCGTCCCAAACCATGAGCGTAGTCGAGCAATCCTCGTCCGTGCTGGACAGACTGGTGCCCACGTGGAATTTGAGAATGGACAACCAGACGCGGAATTGCGGCTGAGGCGGTCTCGGGGCCGGTCTCCTCCAAACGGTACCGGGTCTCTGTTCCGGAAACTTTGGTAACGGTCGCGGTGGTGTCGGACTCGGCAGGGCGGGCCCGGCGCCACGAAGATGGTACAGGCAGGTGCTGTTCCTCGGCAGTGAGTGACGGGGCGACGCCAGGACGCCGCCGCCGGTGCCCCTCAGCCAGAACTCGCAACGCTTATTCTTGGCGTAGGTCGGTGATTCGGCGTCCACGAACGTGACCTGGAAGCCGACGCGCGTTCACATTGCGTGCAGCCTCGACGGGGCTGGGCTTTGCGTCACTGATTCACTCTCCCCCCTCCCCCTCCCCCCTCCCCTTTGTCGGAGCCCGAATTGCCCGAGCGATCGCGTGTTTGCGGTTCTATCTGATGCGAATGTATTCGCTGCGGTGTGTCGTGGTAGGTGTGTCGTGTAGGAAATTTTATGTCGGATAATACGAGCGTTGGTGGATGTCGTTGTTTCTGCTTTCTGCGAACGAGAGCTCGTTGGCTCATTTTATGCGCGATCATGCGGGACCAAATGAGTTCCCAAACGATTCTTGATTTTCGGTAATACCAGGGTAGTAACTACCTATCTCATTATTAGTCCGTCAAGAAATAAATTACCATTGTTATTTTTGCTAAAAAATAATGTAACAAAATCGCCCTTTATTTGTTTTATTCCTTTATTTTGTTTTATCTTATATTATGGTGATGTACGTAAAAAATGTTTTTGTCCATCATTTCGCGACATTAATAACGTTAATTACGTTAATTAATTGATAATAACAAGCGATTTAATAAACAGTAATTAAATAACATTTGTACGATGGAACGTTTTTATCTGCAATTTAAACATTTCCGTAAGTATTCTCTGCTGTGCAAAGAGTTATTCTTAATGCATCTAAAGCATTGAATTTTATGGGTGATTAAGTAGAAGCGGACAGGTTAGACATTAATTAAGGTGGCCATTATGCGATTTATGGGCTGAGCTTTCTCACGTACTTGCACTTCTAATTGAAACCCATGTAGAGAATGGGGCGGCGTCGGATGTAAGAAGGTGCCATAAGGAGAGGTAGTAAACTCCACGAGAATCTCCGGGCCGCTGCTGATGGCCTCCGGTACTGGCTCCCCGCCGCCACAAAATTTTAGGATCACAGGCTCCCTGGTGGTATATCCGTCATACACTGTTACGTAATCCTATAAAGACAAATTTCTCTATTTCAGAGAAGACAACAGATAAGCAATTCGACAATAAAATTTTGTACGTTAATCAAGTTTCCATTTGTAATTATACTATTATTCGAATTTTCACGATGACACTTAGTTGATTAAATTATTACGTTGCATGAATGTATCCTAACTAAATTTCGTCAAGGTCTAACATTAAAATTAAAAAAAGTATATAGTGTATTAAACATTATGATTTTAAAATATTAGCGCAATTGAAACAATGTAATGTACAAATTCATATTATCGTATTATTTAAAGAAAAAAAAACAACTCGGTAATTTTGAAAGGCATTAGTGAACTGCTGCAAAAGAACCGGCGACGAAGCCTTACAATCATTGCCCGGAATAAAAAATCGCCGCAAGGGTGAATGTTTAAACTTGTGTGGCTGCGTTTAATTCTTTGATTCGCGATCAATTCTGTCTAGCGGCGGAAATATCTCGTAGTCGTGGCAACGGCAAAGAATGAAAAACTGAAAGTTTCTTTCTCTGGCAGGTGATCACTATGCAAAAGTGTGGCGCGGCTGCTTGGCAGAACGGTCACGTTGCTTCGCGTTACGACCAGATGTTTTCTCTTTTCTCCGTCTCGAATTTATAACAGCTAATCCAATTTTCGCGGTGGCTTTACGTACCTGAACGACGTCGCAATCTTGCCAGAGACGTAGTTCCCGGGGTGGCGGCTCGGCCTGAGTAGCTGGTCGCGCCCTTACGGCTACCAATTGGCCCCGGGGCTGTTTTACGTGTATTAAAGCGTGCTTGCCTGCCGGCACCTCGTGCTGTCTCACCTACATGAGATATGAATCAGTCCATTCATACCTATATTCGAAATGTATTCTGCCCGCATAGAATTTCTTATCTTAAACTTTGAATGCATATATGTGCATGGCGTACCGTGATTTCATTTATATTCCCTTAACGGTAAAATTAGAATATAAATGTGAATCTAGGTGTTGTGAGACTTTACATCCGAAATATTAGTATTGATTTTAATCCTTTTCCTTTTATTTTTCATTTACCAAAAGTTAATTTTTATTTTGGAAAAATGTCATTTATTTTTTTATAAGAGGAATTATTTAAAGATTAAATAGAATTAATAGTTTCTTTATATTATTTCGATATTAATTAATAAACTAATAGAATTAACTTTTTATATTATTTTTGTACAAATATAAATCTACGTCAGATACCATTTTTTTACAATTAGAAAATATTTTACTAAAATATTTTTACTAAAATATACTGAATTCTAAATATAGATTTATATATAATATAAAAATAAAATTAAATTCCTTTTTGCGATTAGTTAACAGGACGAAAACGTAAGAAATCGGCTTTTATCTAGATATCAGTAATTTCATCATGCTGAACTTAAATGAACGATAAAGATCAGAATGGTTGTATCAGAGTTTCGGAATAAGATGAACTTTCGGTAGAAACACACTGACGGAGATTGCTTCGCTCGTAATCGAAGTTTATCTAGTTTAAGTCCCACGAGTGTCTGTCTGTCTACCTAGCTACACATGAAAAGAACAAATGACCATCTCCGGAGGAGAAAATGAGGTCCTAAATTACGAAAATCTTCGTGTATTTCACTCAAATCAACACTGACTGAATATCAATATAAAGATTGATTTGTTGACATGACTGCTGTTGATTGTTACTTAATTTAAATTCCCACATTCTTACGAAGACCAAAATTGACCATTTAGCAGATAGAAGAGCGAGACGAGAACAAAGCAAGAAAAAAATATAAACTGAAAAGAGTAATGTGAAGAAATAAAGAAGGAATTTTAAATTTCTTCTTTTTAATTAAATTTACGATAACAAAGTTCGATGGCACCTTTCCAATTTCTCGCAAAAACACCGCCGATGTTTTGCTCGCAACTTTGTGCTTGGCTGCTGACCAATTTTGAATCTTCGTGATGTAGAAAAAATTATACCGGCCAGAAACCCATCGTTTGCGCTGATTTACGTGACGAAGAGAAACAGGCGCGGATACTAAGGGGAAATAATGGTTGTAGGAAGGGGACCGTCCGAAAATTTGTTAACCGTATATGAGAGGAAGCGAGTCATTTTTATGACTTCCGCCGCAGGTGTGTCTGCTTGAAACAGAAATATGAGCCGTGTCAAGGCTCTAGGGAGAGGATCCCCCGTCTGACTATGTCGATCGTTTATCACTGCTGCGCATCTGCTCGACGACGAGCAAATTAATTCAGACGATGATACATTACTCTAACGATACGCTCGATATGACGAAAACGTTTCCTTAATGAGCAGCCAATTATATTCCTTTTTCTTTTTACGCATTATAATATTATTATGGGATTGTGCGTTATTTTTACAGATTATGTAAGCGGTAAAGCCACAACTGAAAGTAGGCACATTTTAGAATAAAATGCACGTCGCACTTTGCCAAATATGACAATTTAAGCGAAACTTACCGCGTAATAGCAGGTGAGATTACGGGGATAGAGACCGGGAAAGTTAGGCGATTGCAATCTGCAGTTCTTCCGGTCGCAGTCGGTGAATATACGGGAGCAATAAGTCCCGGATATTAGGTCTCCCAAGAACTGCTCGGAGCTCGGTTTCGTAGGTGGTGGCACGTGTTGCTCGACCATTTGCACCGGCATCGCCATCGACGTGTTCGCGTACTCGGCGGACGTGCGCTCGGTCGACGCCGGCGTCCCGATGACCTGCGTTATTCCTGACCACGTGACATTGGAATTTTAATCATTGACGGCGAAAATATTGGGAAATTCTTTGCCCGCGCAATTTCAATCGCTATTGCAATTTTACGAACGGTACAAACTTCGAACAATTCCTCGCACGGGAAATACATTCGAGTGTTATTAATTAATCGGAGAGACGATTGTGGTTGGATTAAAGTCTATATTAAAGCTTACAAATAATAATAAATTTTTTAATCAGAAAGCTTACATATCTTATAAAGTCTCAAGTAATAAAATTACATAAATATATAATCATAATTTTATTACATAACTGAATATTAGAGGATAAATTCTGTAAATATTTTTTTAACATTTTTTTCTAAATCATATATTTTCAATAATATATTTCATAACAGTAATAATAGATATAAAATAGAATAAATCGCAAGAAGTCAAATCTCAATGAAACAATATTTACTATGAGATAACTTGCGCGTGAACTGATTTTAACTCAAATAATATTAAATAATGATATTAAATAAGAGCTCTCGAAATTTGTCGTGGAATAAATAGTCTCGACTGTGCCGTGGACCAAACTTCGATAAACGTGCTCGAAATCTGTAATCGAAAACTGCGATCACCTACCGACGAAAGGATTTCCGTAGCGCACCACCGCGTCGGATTTCCTGATCATCTTGTACGCCATTCTAAAGTCGAAGTTGAATCCCGTCTGATCTTTGCTGAGCCTGAGCAGCTTGAGGATGATCGAGACGCTAGGTGTTTCGCTGTAGTAGATCGCCGGTCCCCAGGACGTGCCACACCACAGACCGCCGACGTCGGGACGCTGCGCCTCCGAGATTTGCAAGGAGCCATCGGGACATCCCTCCGCGGTGAACGATACGAATTTTCCTAGAGTAAAGCTGTCGAAGGTCAGCTGAAATAAAAAAAATTTATCGTGAGATACAAACAAACGACGGATTCACTTTAAAAATAGGAATTATAAATTGCATTACTAGAAAATATAACTTTCCTTCAAATAAGTAAAGCCTATTAAGAAATAGTTTCTAAAAATGTCCTATCTTTATTTCTAGAATTTATTTTCTAAAATTTTCCTTTATAAATGGCATTTTTTTTTAAATATATATTTCGTATTAATTATTTAGTTTCTAACTTTTGGATTCACTTTTAAAATATTTCTTTCATTTGTACTTCATAAAATTTTAACGATTAACATAGTCGGAAGTAAACGGATGAATAAATGTTATTGCATAGGCTTCTTTGTTTTATGATATCAAGCAAATAAATTCGCATCGACATCATCGACCATTGCTCAAGCTGTCAGCAATTGATAGTCCCATACAGTTTTTCATCCGAAAGAGCAGTCGCGCCTGGCTTGTCCGCGACGCGCGATTAAAACAGAGTTCTTGTTTTGACAGTGATAGAAAGCACTTTGCAATTAGTCACGTAAACGTGAATGACATGAAAACGGATTAAAGTGCTTATTATCGATAATTTACATGACTATGAATGCAAATCAAATAAATGATAAAATACTCGCTTAAAACTATTTCAAGATGAATAATTAAATCAATCATTTGTATTATCCTTTATTATTATTATTATTTGTCAACTTTTGGTTTTGTTATTTAAGTGCATACATACAAGCAAACAATATTCAAGTGATGAATTAAATAGAGATTCGTGAATTTGTGTTGGCTTGATTGTCAGATACAATTCCGTTCGGTTGCCGCATTACTGTTTTGCATCACTGCGACTTTTAGTGCGCGTCTCTTTGATGAGAGCAGTAAACATCCATACGCAGACCACCGGCACGTACAAGCGATTCTCGTGACTTGTGCTATGTAGATATGAGAAAGTCGGTAAATATTGCTGTGCAAATAATTCAGCAGCCGGAGGCAGCAGAGTTTTTATGCACTCGACAAAGTTTTCGCGCTCTCGGAAACTCGGTGCACGGTTTTCAGTTTCACGTTGAAAAATGTGGAGTCCTTATTAAAAATTCCGTCTTTAATTCCTCAGCGGAAATCGGACAAAAATAACTTTTTTCATTTGCCATGCAAGAAATGGACATGCGAAATTGATTCGCTTTCCGGAATAACTAATTTTCGAGCTATGTCAATTATTAAAATTTAAATTTTCTTTATTCCACGTTCTGATTAGCTGCGCAATTTATTTAAAATTTTTATGTCAAGGAAAATTTGAAACGCGTTTGCCGGAAGCGCTCGAAGCCATTCTGCTTATGCAAGGAAGATAATTATTTGTCGAGACTTGTTTCCTTAATACAGAGGTCGAGTAGACTCAAAAATTCAAGTGTTCGGAATTTAATTTGCTACATAAATCCTAGCATCGTCTTTCTTCATCGAACTATTCGTTAATGCGTACTTTAATTAAAGTCCGATTCAGTGTAATGTAATTTATTGCAAATTTCCGAGACTCACTTCTTTTGATACTTCATGAATAAATGAATAAATAACGTTTAAAGTTTAACATTTCTTGTAAAACGTAAATGAGTATTGAATTTCTCAGTGTTAATATTGTGTTAATGTTTCAAATGGCTCAAGCACAACTCACCTGCACAATATCACCGAAATCGTCACCTGGCGCATTAAAGGTGAGCTTGCAAATGTAAGGCACCTTATCTTCCTTCGGTCGATGCAGTTCCAGATCGTACGTCTTCCCCACGTCGCCATAGTACGTTTTATTGCAAGCTGCAACATAAATATTAAAGTACTTTAAATTTTCTTACTGTCTTTATGCTTACATATAGATAATTCTTTTATTTCTATTTATATCAAGCAGTATTATTTTTGTAAAATCTGCAAAGCTTATAATTAGTCAACAAAACAGTCATTATTATTCATTATTATTCATTATTATTCATTAGGACTTTATTCAATTGTTATTTGCGATAGTTACATCTATTTTTCAGACATAAATAATTAAAATTAATTACATCTTTCAATGTAAATTTCATAAATGATAAACATTTATAAATATACATGTATAATAAATTATATATGATTATTTCCATGATTATTACAAATCGTACGATTTTGACATCGGTGGCTTTCTGTTCTTTAATAATAGAAAAGTATGTTGTCCTAAAGTGGATCCCTGTCTTATCTTCTTGAAACCAGTTCCTTATTGCGGCCAACAACATTGTTACGGCCGTCCGTAAATTTTCTTTCACGAATAGCATTTTTCAAATGCGGAAGTGCATTTCCCAGAACAGTGAAAAATCGTATCTGTAGCTAAAAATTTATGAGAGATGAAGGGAGTATCTCCCTTCTGCGATACTTTCATCATACTCTTCCTTCATAAAAAAACATGATAAATGAAAAATCCAGATTTTTATTAATACAAATGTAATTATTATAATTATCTCATTTAACATATTTAATTGTACAATTGCCTTAATAGATAATTTAATAGGGCCAAATGTAAGTAATTATTGGATTTGCATTAATCAATTCATATGACTCTTTTATCTTGATTTTTCACGTTGGTTCTGATAATACATCAGTTTCTCCGTTACGAGAATTCTATTTTAGCTTTCCGTTAAATTCTAAACGAACAGTCAGTGAAATTAATTTGATTAGAGGACTCTCAATATAGATTACAAAATTACGGGGACTTAAAATAAAGCGTCTGTAAATTTATTATAATAATCGGCAATCAACACAAACGTCAGTATTAAAAATAACTTTATTTAAAGTCAAAGCGACAAGAAATGTCCATAAAATGCAATGCGTTTGCATGTATCTAAATATTTCTCACTTTCGCATTTCGCATTTGTCTTGTAACGGACGGGTGAAGTATTCAGACATCCGTTAAACGTCTGTATATAAAATATTAAAAAAAGAAAGTTCGCTAAACGTTATAATCCACAGTGTGATATTCGCTTTCCCTCGTCAAGCCGCAAGCCGATTCCATCAGAGAGATTACGAGGGTCGATCCCCCGCGGATCGTAGAGCAAGATAAAGAATTGATGGAAGATGGTAATGAATTATCGATGAGCCGCGTCGTTTGTTTCGTGCCAGGCATTCCGGTTCGATGTTTTGGATGAGGAACGAACGAACGAGGGGAAGAAGCGTCGGCCGCGCGGTAACTCTTCCCTTTCTTCATTCATGTTTAATGGCAATTGTGCCTGGAAAAACGGCGTTCAATCAAAGACCGTGGACTAGGACTTTTCGCGAGGGGCCGGTAAAAGGTACACGCGATCAACGACTCGTGATATTTCCGGTAAAAATGCACCCAAGAGAAATACCGAGTATATTCATTTATTCAGAAAGATTCGCGCCATACAGCGATCCGATGTCAAATCTGCTGAAATACTCATTATTAATTCAGTCAAGACAATTCTAGTCTAGATTTGTCAATTGCATCGAGATATTCATAGCGTACCTGAAGATCCTTCATCATTCGAGAAGGACGTCGACGTATACGTGACATATATGATTCTATAATAATATGCTTTAATGCGAAGAAATCTTATGTTATAAAAAAGTCACGCGAGATGAATCCTATATAGCTTCTCTCTCTAAATTTATAGCTTCTCTAAACTATACAAATGTCACTTCATACAAAATTGAGAAGGGTTGGGGCATTCTAAAGTGATCCCCCAACGTTTCAGAAGTCCTCTTGGTTCCATAAATTCATCCCTAATATCCCTTTTTTGGCCTCCTTGCTAAAGGCGTTTTTCAAAATAATAATTGACGTGATCTAGAAGAAGATAGTAACAAACAAGATAGTAACAGTTCAAGATAGTAACAAATAGTTTGCTCAACAACAACCGATTGTAACTTTTTCGATCATTAAACTGTCAAAAAATAAAGATAAGAATTAAAACTTTTTGCACGTTTACTTTAGCGATGCTGACATTCTCTCTCTTTTTCTTATCGCCTTCCTTCTTATCGCTCTCCGAAATAATTCCGTCGTCTCGAAGGAAATGTTACCGTTCACTTGCGAAACTACTGCTCCAAACTCGCGCAACTCGTTCACGATTCCCATCGATTAGACGAATCTGAAATGCATTTGTCGATCGAGTTGCTTTGGCTTCCTCGTGCACGTCCCACGTGGAATTAATCCTAGTTTTGGTTGGTTACACACTCGGCTATTGTGAGGCTTCAAGGGCTCATAATAGATGCACAGGGATGGAAATTAAGGGTTGGCCGGGTAGATGAGAACACCGTAGAATTGACTGTCTGGCACATATACACAATAGGCACCGTTTCCAGGCACCAGATCATTCCTAATCAGAATTCTGCTTTGCCGATCTAATGGGTCAGTGTTCGAAGCACAGTGTTAGCCTTGGCACAATATCCCTTTAATAAGCATCCCTTTGATATAAATTTGACTTAGCACGGAAGATGCACAATAACATCGCGCGCTAACGCTGATAAATCAAATTCCGTAGAAATTTCGAACGATCAATATCAAAAGATATAATATCAAAAGATTCTTCTTTTTTTATACGTAATATAACTTTTTATTATTTTTAATCAAACAGTATAAAAAAATTATATTACTACAAATAATTATTTTTAATTATTTTCTTATTTAGTCTATATTTTTTGTAAAATTAAAAAGATTAAAACTATTAAAATACGACCTTCGTATTTTAAGAAAATAGAATAAGAAAATAAAATTAAAAATAATTATTTGTGGTAATATAATTTTTTTATTCTGTTTGATTGAAAATAATGCATTAATCTTTTCGCTTTTATTTGAATATAATTAGACACTCGATATTCTCGAGAATCGTGTGAAATCTATTTGTCAGCGTAACAATGATCAAAAGTTTCAGTACGGCGGAGTTTTGAGCGATTAGGACATTTACGCGTCCGTCTGACTAATGGTCGACATAAACCATTTCGTTCTGTTAGCCGAGACGCGTCTGGCCACGGACTGCTGGTACTACTGCGGCGTCAAGGAGCGCCTACAGCGGTAACGTCTGACGAATGACTAGTCTATGTCACTGCCGTAGTACACTATCCTGTTTCATACGAGCGTTTAATGAAAACAGAAACTCTGCAGTAATTATGTAATTAGTCATTTTTAATGCTATTCTATTTTGTATAATGCTAAGCGCGATTGATTTACTCGCATGTTCTTCGTGACAAGTATTTTATTATACTTGAGAAAGTTGAGTCTAAAGATCATGAGAAAAATAATCACAAACATTCATAAATGTCACGTGTATTAATAATTTAACCTAATATTTTTTAAAATATTAGGTTAATATGTCAATATAAAAAAAAAAGAGAGATTGTGAGATGGTTGCGTGAATAAATGCAATTTGTGTATGTCTCAGACAGTAATTTCAACGATACTGACAGTTCAGTTGTTTCATATTTTGACTTGCGTCGTTCACGTAAATAGTTAGCGGAGGGTAGTTCGACTAAACGTGTCTTTTGTGTAGTGCAATTGAATTCGAGTTGGCAAGTAAGTAGACGCCATGTACAATTGGCGTCGCGCCAAACGCGCTTAATAATGCCTGAAAATTCAGATTCGAAATGAACGTGCCTCCTTCCAGCTGTGACTCACGTGAATTTTCCGATAGTTCATCCAATAGTCAGATTGAACATCGAAGAACATTGATATCTAACTATGGCATCAGGTTACAAATTGAGAAATATGTATTTTCGAGCGAATATTCTAAATATATCGAATTGTTCTAGTAGAATGTAATATTAAATTCAATTTTTCATGACATATTTTTGAGATGGTGCCATTAAAAAATTTTTGCACGAGCAACAAATAATAAAAGACAACGCAGCCTCTTGACGCGTCTCGTCCCGTCGACGAGACACGAATTTTTCGCAGCCGGTGAGAAATAGAGGCGCGCATTACGCGAGATTCTGTGACGCGTAGTTGCGACAAGCGACGAATTCGCATCGCTCCATTTGACGCCGTCGTTGTAAAAGCTGTAAGTGCGCAACCCTGGAACAAGGAAAGAAAAAGAAGAGAGTTCATTCCGCGTGAGCGCGGAATGAAACGAGAAAAATCAAATCGCGAGTTTGCGATGTGCGGTAGTTCGCTATGACTCGTTTATGACGCAAATATAATTTAACGTCTGTCAATAAAAACAAAAAATAAAAAATCTACGCTCGCAGGTACTGATATTTGCGGTTCGTTGATTAATATATATTAATGTAGAAAGCGCGATGTACCGTCGCATTTGGTATAGAGTAAAAATGTTCAAATATTGATGCTTAAAAAGTCTCAGAATTAAACAAGAGGAGAATTCTATATAATCGAATGAAATGTTGAATCGATTTCTTTCGAGATAAATAATTGTCGTGCCGCAAAAAGACTAATATACCTCCGTGTTCTACGTGAGAATATTCTTGGTCTACCCATCTGGCATTAAAGTGAAGGTAAAGTAGGAGTCACGTAACGCAACATTCAGTACAGCAGATATACACTCACGCATACATATCAGTACTATTTTAACAAACCTGTCGCATACGTAGAAAAATAAATAATCTTCGTAAAAACGAATAAATTTCATAAAAGTATAAAGTTAGATTAAAAATATATATAGAATTAGAAATGATTCAAGATAAAATTAGAATAAATCATATCAAATGGCAAAAAAAAAACAGCTGCAAAAAAATTCAATTCGAATTACTTGTTAATTTTATACTATAATATATATTTTAATGTAAAATACTATAATATATATTTTAATTTATTTTACTAAAAT